TGCACCAAGGTACCACCACTTTAACCAGTCACACCCCAGTTTACTGTGGACCAAAGCTGGGACTGTCAGAATACAAGTTTTGATGTGATAGTTGCTGATTTAAATGTCACAGTGAGAAGTGGTGAATAATAACTCAACAGGTGCATTTTGATTTCAACTGTTTATGACTCAGGCCAACATAAATTTCAAGGTTTGTTCTGGATCTTGTATTTTTGAACCAGTGACCTGTTTCATTTTACAGCCAACATGGTCTAACATTTGTGTCTGATGGGCTCATGTGAGGCTCTGTTGCAGTCACACAACATGTCACAGGGTTTCCACAGGTTCTTGAAAAGAGTGCGAGCTCTGCTTCTCTGTTTTGTGTCTGAGGCGCAGTCACACACACAGCCGAGCAGAGACGACATCATATTTTACCACGACAATAACACTTGATATGTGCAGCACAATCCAACAGTAATGGAGAGAGTAGTCAATCAAACAGCTGTTCAACAAGCCAAACACAACACCACACTTGCAGAAATATGACGTCTTCACTCTTCCTGTGGTCAAAAGACCAAGCAGCTGCTCTGCAGCAGAGCATGAATGTTTCCGCAGAGAGGACGGGATGGAGTCACAGACAGCAGCTAGTTTACAGCCAGAGCTGCGCCTCCTTACGGTAAACATTTAAACTGCAGGCTGACGTTATGGCTCCTAAACGTTCACGTTCTGGCTGGGGTCATGAAGCATGTTGTGTAGGAGGCTACGGATGGTCAGCCAGTTACAGGTTATATTTGTTCTCAGAGTAAATTTTAAGTTAATTTGTAAAGACTCCTGTTGTAGTATACAGTATTTAATCACAGTCAGAAAGTAAATCTCGTGAACATAAAAACTGTTTCTAAACTGCACTTTTATGGTCATTTGTAACTTTTATAGTAGAAACACTGCATTATTATTAAGTACTTGTATTGACCAGTACTCAAATGTTTCATCCAGAAAGAAGTGAGACTAACTGTAACTGCTGTTGTTTTTCAGCATAAAGCAGCTCAGACTCCAACAAAGTCCAGTCCAGACAGTGAGGTGAGATGTCATATATATTTACTAAATATCTATGGGTGTGTGTCCAGGCAGTGTTGAGTTACTGTGTTTTGTTGCTGGTTGAACGTGTGACAAAGTGCTCAGGTACGGTGTCAGGGTGGTGTCTGAGTTTAGGTTGTTTCTCATGTTTTATGTTCAGGTCCCAAAAAACAGAGGGGTCTGAAATGTATTGAATTTTATTTTTAAATAATATTTATTTTTGCTCCACTTCCTTATTGTATCGACCACGCCCCTCCATACCTGTACACCATGACATCACGTCTGTGTCTTTGTTAGTGTGTGTCCGTGATGAGCGCATACAGATTCAACAGCCGCCTTGCTCCACTGCAGGAGAAGTTGAAAAAAGGTTCAGCTTTATGTAAATCTCCTCTGATGCAATGTGAGCAACGGCCAGGTGAGAGCCAGTTGGACTGTCCCCAGTTGCTACAGAAACTGAAACACAGAGTTGTTCACTATTCGAACACAAGAAGGGACTTTAAACAAGATGGAGGAAAAGCTGATCAGCAGAGTGTCTGTTACAAGTTCTCTGTGATTTTCTCCTGAGTTATGGCAACATAAAAAAGAAGAATGGTAACCCCAAGTAGTTTATAAATGACTGACGAACCACAGAAACGAGACTAGTGCACACAATGCTTTAATTAAAGATCTATATTGTAAAAGAATATGAATTATTAAAATTGTTTAAATGGAAAAAAAGACCAGATGGAAATAAATACACTTATTGGCAATATAAATGTAGTAACATAAATCAGTAAAGAGAATTAATAATGGCTTTGACATATCCCAATTTGCAGACCGGATAAAGTTTACGTTCAAAAATAAGAACAGTCTCAGCTGCTCTCCAGACTATTCCAGAGGCTCGGACCTGAGGATCCTGCTTCCTATATGTGTGAGGCCTGTAGGCTGCTGCAAGAGCCGTAGGATATTTTTATTTTATCCCATTCGTGTGTGCAGGGAGCCAACAGGAAGTCAGCCAGCTCAGCCCCAGTGAGCACGTTCTGTGGACCTAAAAACATAGTTTTTAGTTTTTGTTATGGCCAGAATCAGGAAGCATGGAGGGTTTTTTGGAGCATGTGACTTGGACAATGATCCAGACTTGATGAATAACTTGAATCTGTGTGTGTGAACACAGTCTTATTATGTGTTTGTCTGTCTTTGATGTGTTCAGAACGTTTACCCCTTCAGACGCTCCACCCACACAGATGACTCCGCCTTATTCATGGTAAGGCTTGACCCCACCCCCCCAAATCTATTAACTGACCTGCAAAATAAATCATCTTCATCTGTCTAGTGCAAAGAGACAGGAATCACTTGGATCAATAATAATACACCCAGCATCTGCCTGATCTCTTCTTCCCGGTGTGTCCTGATTTTACCCATTTAGTGTGGTTTCTCCCCGGTTTTCCACTCTACGACCTCCTCTCTTCTTCCACAACCAAAAGACCAAGGGCAGAGAACAGCAGCGTCATTTGCAGCTTCTTATCAGACATGTTCTCAGTTAGAAGCAGCTGTAAACAGCAGCTGTGTTGAATGAGAGGTGCTTTGTTTATTTCCACAGTCTAGCACTTCTTTCCCTTTCTGAATGAATGCAGATACCGCCACCTGAGGGTTAGGGGGACTTTTTTTCTCTCATGTAGGCACAGAAGGCATGTGCTAGTCAGCTTTTGGCTGTAGTCTTTGTGTGCTGTGTTCAAGTGGCACTTTTTAACCCAACTGGCCCAAAGTTGACATGAGGCGACGCAACAGTTAGCCTATGTCGCTGCTGGTCCTTTCACGTTTGCTCATAATGACCTACAGGAAACTGAATGGTTCTCTTCCTGTGGCCTTATCATGGTAAAAGCTGCTGTGTTTGACTTATCACATTCACAAGTATGGGCTGGATAACCCGAAATCATAACGTCTATGGCTGCAGCTGTCGCCAGCAAGGAGGCGTAATAACTCTGGTTTAAACTGAAATACCAGGACCTCTTGTTGTTTTATTAGTGACTTGGCTTGCTTTAGCAGTGGGTGCACACAGATATCCATCGTATTTCTATGCGTCTGTGCTGGAGTCCATCCGCCTCCTCCTTGTGAATGCGATATGTCAGGAAAGCTTTGAGGGAATTTCCTCAAGTGTCCACTTGGACTCAAAGATGAACTGACTAGATTTTGGTGGTCAGAGGTCAAGCTCTGTGACCTCATGTCTGTCCCAGTCCTGTGAATTTAAATGGGTGGTGGAAGCATACAACCACAAAGCGGTAATTCTAGTTCAGGGGTGCTCAATACGTCGATCGCAAAGTGTTGGTAGATCGCGTGGCGTTCAAAGATAATTTAGATGTGCCCGCCGTAAAACACGTGCCAAATGTTAACATGGTCAGTGTGACGATTCGCTGTGGCAGCCCCTAACAGGAAAAGCAGAAAGTGACAATCATTCATATAAAGCCTATCATCCATTTGCTAATTGATTGACATGCAGGGCAACCAGTCTGAGATCTTGTCTTTTCTGACACATGTGTGTGTGCGCGCGTGTGCGCATGTAGTATTTTTAGTGTAGGTCGATCGTTTTGACTTGGTCGTTTGAAAAGTAGCTTGCAAGGTGAAAAAGTGTGGGCACCCCTGGTCTAGTTCATGTTTGTGTTGTACCATACAGACTCAGAGGGTGGTGGAGTACAGGAACAGACAGAAACCGATCTGAAACATCTGATCCATGTTTGGAACAAACTCAGTTCAGTTTCTCTTTTTTGTTTAAGTATAAACCTCCATATCCTTATTTCTGCCAGTCTCCATTTCTGTCTGTTTCTTTCTCCCTGCTGTCTGTCAGCCTGTGACTGGAGTGTCTGTAGACAGTGGCCCTCATGCCTCTGATAGCCCCCTTTTTGCTACAGGTACTGCAACCTGCATACTGCTGCTGTCTGTTTAAATGTTTAGCGGGCTAACAGGGGAACAAACCTGCAGTGTTTCACTTTGATTTGGGTTTAGCTTCAGAAGCCTTTGAAAGGATCAGTCTGGTATCATTCTGTATTTTTTATATCATCATTAAATCCATTTTTCACACTCAAACCCTCAGTGTCTTAGTCTGACTATCAACACTTTCCGAGTCCTTGAACATCCTCAAACCCACATTTAACATCATAAATATCCCAGACCTTCCTAAAGCTCCACAGAAACAGAATCATCTCAAAATGGCCATAAAGTAGAAGTTTGGTGCTGATCCAAATTGTGTTTGTATGTCTTTCTGTACTTCCTGCCTTCCTGTGTCTCAGCTCCAACTCTAATGGTTCCTGTTGAAGACATAAATCTTTAGAAACATCTCACTAATGGCTGTCTTTAAAAAGGTTCAGTAATTTCCTAAACCATCATAATTTCAGGGAAACAGCCTGAGGGACTTCCTGTCTGTCAGGTGTGTGCAGGTGTGTAACTGTGCTATGTTGTGTTTCAGCAGGGAGAGGACAGGGCAGCTCTTTCTCCTACAGGTAAAGAAAGCAAACAACATGACACTGATATTTGGCTTCTGTCATTTTTACACATGGATTTTGACAGATTTTGGTATTTCTTCCAGCCAATCAGTCACCTTCATACCCAAGCTCAGGGAGCATGTCTTCCTGTCGTGCAGCAGGTCTGAGACCTGAGGGCTTCCTGTTTCGCCTCGGCCAGAAAGAAGAGAAGAGGAAAGGCGAGAGAGTGCCACCAGTCAGAGGTATTACAGTATGTTCATAACCCACCGATAATAGTCTGACCCTTGCCTCTGAGCAGGGCCCCAGGTCTCAGGTGGTAACCTTTACCAGCCAGCCGTTTGGCCAGTTTGACTCCCGCTGTTGTGTCCTGCAGGTGACACTGCTAATGCTCCTCAGAAACAGGAGGAGGCTCCTGTTGCTGCTCCTCTGGTTGGAGAAGACGCTGAGTTGGTGGAGCAGCTCCGAAAGGTTTGTTCTTCTTCCTGCTACACCTGGACACACCTGTTCTACCTGCAGTCTCAGTCATCACTTTTTATAAATGGCTTCAAAACGTTATGTGCAGCGTGAGAAGCTAGTGGAATCGTCTGAACGGAGCAGAGATCAGTGACTGTGTCTTCCCTCAGACACTGCACAAGTTGACTGCTGTTCTTAGGGTTTGGAGCTGTTTGCTGAAAAAACACAGGCCTCACGTTTCCTGAGGAAGAAACATGTCACCCAGTTGTTTACAGTCGCAGTAGGTTATTCTAATAAATTAGTAAATTTTAACTTGAAGTCCAAACTCCTGAAGACGGGAGGCGCAGTCAGTGTGCAGTTAGAACACTGACGTCCTTGCTGACAGGTTACGCTGCTCTGAACGATGTGTAGCTGTTGGCTAATAGCGCAACCTTGGTCTGCTAGCTGGTTATTTTGTTTCCTTAAAGCATGTCACAGCTCAATAAAGCGGTGTAATCCCAGTGCTAGGATGAAAATGAGAACAGCTTTGAGTCTGGTTCCAAATCTCTGCCATCAGGCTCTCACCCAGCTGTCGTTGCATAGGGTAGATCTTTCCCCAGCTGTGGGTTGTGGCCTCGCTGGCCTCCTCCAGTCCCTGTGTCACACAGCGGGGTGGGCTGAGTGACAGCACTCAATTTACATTGACAGACCTGGCCCAGGGATTTGTCTCTGTATGTGTGAACACCAGTTAGTCTGGATGGGATTTGTGCCAAAAAAAACCCCATACAAAATCACTGTTTGCATCCTTTAAGGGCAGAGTCACTCACACTGTCAATGTTTTCATTGCTTCACTCGCTGCCTGCAGCTATGGATTCTTGTGAATATGTATAAATTAATGTTAACACACACTAATGTACCATCTGTGTCCAGAACATTGAGGCACGTCTCAAAGTCTCACTGCCCAGTGACCTGGGAGCAGCTCTGACGGACGGGGTGGTGCTATGTCACCTGGCCAATCACGTAAGACCACGGTCCGTCCCCAGCATCCACGTCCCCTCTCCTGCAGTGGTGAGTTCAGCTCTGATTTTAGGGGTCATACATCTCTGCTGCTGCTGTCAGGTTCCTCATAACAGTAACCATGTCCTGACTGGTCCTCTCGTCATGTCCTTCAGCCTAAACTCACAATGGCCAAATGTCGAAGAAATGTCGAAAACTTCCTGGAGGCGTGTCGCAGGATCGGAGTCCCACAGGTAACACGCAGTGCAGTGACAGACTGAAAAGGCTTTCTGTGGTGTGAAATGAATGAATGAGTCAAATCCAAGTGTCTTTGTACTGTGTTCACTGTCATCACATTGAGTCTAAGAAGGTATAAAATGCACTTTTAGGTAGGACTTAAAACCTCTGATTTCCCTGTAACCTTATAATTAAAGTCGTAAAATAATTTTGCAAATGCTTTCTATTAGGATTGCGTGATAAATCGATTTGTGAATGTGATTTAGATCCCTGTGCGATCTCAGTCTCACATGACAGAGTCTACCATGTTGGCACACACCTTGCATCAAACCAAGCGCTCCCTTTTCCTCACTAAGATGCGTCAACCAACAGCAGAAATGGGTTACATCACATGATGAGCTGTAGACAGGAAGAGAAGACTGATTCAAAAACGAATCCAACATGTCCACAAAATATTCTGTTCCATCCTGCAACTATTATCAAACACTGCCCTTCCTGCCCTGTACATCTGGTGCTGAACAGCGGTTGAGGCGGGAAAAAAAATATAATGACACAGGGATCTAAAAATTGCTCACAAATCGATTTGTTGTGCAGCCCTGCTTCCTGACGCTGGCACACAGAGACACATAAAGATAAAACATTTACCGGAGCATAACAAAGGTCTGTGTGGGTCTCAGGAACTAGAATGAGTCTGTGGCATCAACAGATCCTGGTTTTATTTGGAGTAGCATCTGAGGTGCCTCACCACCTTCAGATAAAAAGATAATATATATTACATTATGTATGGGCTGATACCTATCTGTTACTTAAACACAAATCTGCAAGTGTGATGATGTCTGGACATTTTCAGTTGGTCTGAATGAATGAATGGCTGTGTCTTAATAACCTGCAGACTAAGCTGAGGAAGAAAATACAAGGGATAGACTCTGATGTCACAGTTTCATCAAATTCACAATAAAGCAGACAGGTTTTTGTCTCTATCGTCCTTTTTGTTAAACTGTATTTTTAGAATTTTGTACTGTATTAAGTCGTGACAGTGCAGAGAGAGTATGAAAAATGAGGCAGAGTGCAACAGAGGTCCTTCAGGTTTGACATGGGCTGTTTGGCTAAAGACTTTTGGTCTGCATGCTTATGTCCGCATGGACCTGGGAAACGGACAAAAATTATGTCACTCGACCATAGTAGACGTGCAGACACAGAAACCATGAACTGGCCTCCCAAAAACAACCTCCACATTTAAGTTTTTAAATCTTCAAACAATTTTCACAAATTGATTTACATGTATGCGGCTACACTTCAAGTTCCTGATCTGTAAATCGCACCTTCTCACTGTAAATCTGAGGTGTATTGGCTGTGACATTAATGTCTGATCCTTGTCTTTTTGTCCTGTGTACTGAAACCGTTACACTTCTCTTAAACTAACAGCTTTCTTTCTTCTCTTTCATCTTCCCAACTTTCATTAATCCTTCTGTATTCTGTCCATCTCACTCCTTTGTCCTCTCATTTGTTATCTGTCACCATGTCTGTCCACACTCAAACACTTCCAGGACAGTCTTTGTTCAGTGGGGGAGGTCTTGGAGGGGACAGGAGACAGGGTTTATGGGACAGTGGGTGCGTTGCTGTCTATGGCTCCACCTCTGATCAGCCCCTCCCCTCGGGTCCAGTTGGCTGGTTTCGCCCTGTTCTACCTCTCCGTCATGTCGGTGCTGTGCGCCATCTACGTACACCTGGCACCGCACGTCTGAACCCACTCTGAGCACAAAACCTCAAACCAGATACCACCGTGACAAGATAAAGATAAGATGATATTAGGGACCCACGTCCACTGGGATGTGACCAGAAAATATCCAAACAAATCTCAGTACATCAGTAAAGAAATCACATTAACAGCGCAAATGTTAAAGCAATAGTTAAGATAGCTTAGCACAAAAATGGAAACGCTGGCTCTGCATGTCATCCAAACATTTCATGCCACATCCAGGACAGGATTCTGATAGCCCAGCCTAGCAGTAATAGCCTGGACATCTTTTTTTTGTAACCACTTCCTCCTGCTCCTCCTGGAGGATCCAAATGTTTTCCCAGCCTTGATGGAATATACTGTATAATTCCTCCTGAATGTTCTGGGTCTTTCATGGAACATCTCCAGAATGAGGTGCCCAGGAAAATCCTCATCAGATGCCTAAATCACTTCAACTTACTCCGTTTAATGCAAAGGAGTAAGTTGAGTTCCTGCCAGATGTTCAGATTATTTCCCAGACATCCTGCCAGGGACACCACAGTCATGACCATGGATGGTTGGAACATAAACACATCCCTCAGTTATCTGGACTTGTGTAGACCTTAGGTACAATTGCAGCAGGCTAAGCATGTCCTCTAGCTTCTTGTGGGGGGTGCCAAAGACCAGGTGGTATATGTAATCACTCCAGTGTGTTCTATGTCTATCCTTGGGCCTTGTACCTGCAGGAGTTACCTGCAACACCTCCACAGTAAGGCTGCCAGGATTACCAGATGCTAAACCAGTTCAGCTCACTTGGTGGACTGCATTTCCCAGTGGATGTCAGTCTGTCTCTAAGGCTGAGTTGAAACAAGCTTGTAAAGAAAACTTATTCTGGTTGCTTGTTTCAGTCATTCCCCCAGGCTTATGATCATATTGTGGGTCATGGGGTCTCCAGTTGAACCTGACAACAAACACCTAACAGCATTTCTGAAGCTTGCTGATTTACTTGGTGTGTATCTCCTCTTCAGACCTCAGCTGCCCTCTGAATTGTGCCTGGCATTTCCCATTTGATCCGGTTTTTTTCCCAGCAGGTCTGGAGTTGTGCTCAGTGGTGGCCATTTCCCAGGTTGGGCCAATTTTGAAGGTGGGATTAAAAATGGGTACATCATCACCTTCTCCCACAGTCACAAACATCTGGGTACTGACCCACATTGCAGCATAGCTACCGGGATAAGGCTACAGAATTTCTTGCCTTTCAGAATCAAATTATTGTTGTGACTTGGCTGAGAAACATAGATCCTCACTAATGACATAGACAGGTAAGATGGGCCTTTTGTTGTCAAGTTTTGTACTATTTTTCCCGTACAGACTAAAATATTTAAACTCTTAGTTCTGGGTGTTCCAGTAAAAAAAATGCTTTCACTCAGCTATAGAAACTTATTTTCTCTATCCATGTTCACAGCATGTTGCCACAACTAGGCCCTGAGAGTTGTGGTCTGATGGTATTTAGTCAGATTTTAATCCTCTTATTGATTCCAAATCCTTTAAACGTCCTTATTGAGTCTAATGGTGTTTTAAGGTTTTAATGTTTGTAATTTTGTATTGATGATTTATAAATCAATCCATTGGAGCCTTCCCTTCTAAAATCCTTGCTGTTTAATATGCAGGTTTGGACTTGAAGCTTCATGGTCTCAATGACTTTGGACTTGATAAAAGACTTCAAAGTCCATTGTGACTTAAACTCAGATGACTCATGACTTCCTTTGGACCTAAGCCTTTTAACGTGGATTGACTCATTGTCGCCCCCAAACCTTCTCACTCCATAATTTTCCAGAAAACAGCAATTTCATCAATCGGTCTGACAAAAGCCAATCAGATTGCAGAGTGTAAGTGTATTTGTTTGTGCAGACTGACAAATAATGACTTCTTCTGGACTCTGAGTGCAACACGTATGGCTTGGACTTGACCTGGTAATGGTTGGTTGTGACCTGGGACCCGTTTTATTACCTTGGCACTTAGTGTCGCCTTGTCTTTCTTTGTGATGTATTGACCTTGTTGGCATTGACTCAGGACTTTATAGCCAAAACAGTGACTTTGTCCTGCCTCTGCTAAACTTGCCATATGTCTGTTACATCCCTGAGGGTCTGAGATTTTCTTCAGCCACAGAGGATCATATAATCCCTCAGGTGAAGGCAAGACTTAACAATCTCCCAAAGGTTTACCCTGAAGCTACCTTCCTGTCTGTTGAAGCTCTGCCCCTGTGCCTTATGGCTTTTGTTTTACTGTGTGTACTGCTTGTAAACTGTTTGAAGCCTGCCCACACACCTGAGCCCAGCCTCTGAAGACCCATACTGTATGTCCCCTGGTTCACCATGAATCAGTGTTTTACACTCATGGTTTCCTCTTTGTGATACCAGTAATGTTTGAGCAACTCAGCTGATGTTTCATAAACAAAAGTAACTTCATCGTGAAGGAGTTATCCCTGTATTCAGAGAAGATTCCCTGAAATCTAAGTGTAGGAATTGGCAGGTCAGGAGCTAACAACCCCACATTCTGCTGCAGGATCTTAGCAAATCATAACCCAACCTGGATCCTTTTTTATTGGTTCTGCTTTTGTTTCCATTGTTCTCATCTCACAGTGGGAATATTTCTTGGAATTAAATTTGGTCACAACTCAGGACACTATATCTAAGCACAACCACATCCAACAGATCAGCTGGAAACACTTCACTGCTGCATCTGCGTGGAGCAAGATACTCTTTTTAAGCAGAAGACCAGTAGGGAACACTTGTTGAACAACACAACACATCCAGGCTTCATCACTGTTTCTGCTTGTTGACATGTATGTACACATTGAGAGTCGCTGTGCCAGTCAAATTCCTCGTGTGTCTGACACACCTGACCAATAAAGCTGATTCTGATTCTGGACAGGATGGAACTGGAGTCAAGAGGTTGGAGACCAAAATCGCTTGGTAGAATCAGAATCGGCTTTACTCGCAAGGTGTGTTGAACACACAAGGAATTTGACTTTGGTACAGTGGCTCTCGATGTGCATGTACAATGTTCTTCCCTAAGGCAATTGGAAAGCAAGATAAGGCTGAGAGAATAAGAAAAGAAAAGGAATGTGCATTAGGAGAATAAGAATAAAGTACTTATAAATATATTTGTTCATATATGCAGTTTGGCTGGAAGTTTCCACATCTATGTATACAAAGGTATATTTACAGGTATTTCACTGAGCGTTGTTGTCTTGTTATACAGCCATGGGTTAAGTGTTGAAGAAATTGTCCTTGTGTCTGGTTGTAGCGCCATCCAGAGGGGAGGAGTTCAAACAGTTTGTGTCTAGGGAGGAATCTTCTCTGCCTTCCTTTTGACCCATGAGGTATACAGGTCCTCCGTGGAGGGCAGGCTGGCACCAATGGTTCAAAGCGATGGATGAGCAGAGAACATACTCAATGATTCCTCTGACTTTGCTAGATGGATAGACGGGAGCAGCATCCAGGTCCCTCTTTTTTGTAGTTTGACCAGGGCCCCCACTCTCTTCCCTCACCCACGTTTCTCCAGCTCCCATAGAGGGCTGCTGCTCCTCTGACCAGAATGTCCACGCTGCTTTTTGCATTATCAAAAATCAGTGGAAAGGTGTTCAGAGTGAGTTGTCTGATGTTTAGTAGTTCTTCTCTGGTGAAGGTAATCTGGGATGGGTTGCAGAAGAGAAAAGGAAGAAAAACAACAGACATGTTAGAGAGCACATAATTGAGGCAGCCATATGTGGCACCACCTTGTTACCTCTAGCATGTTTATCTGAACCATTCCAGTTTGTAAAACACAGTGGAAACACAAGAAAAACCTTGCACCAAAGACTCAGAAGGTTCTCAAAGGTTTGGGTTCTGAGAAGAATCGGGTTACAGTGGTAATGGACTTATAGTTTCTACTTGGACATGGACTCTGATGTGGTGGTGTTGTTGTGTAAACCACTGAACAGCCATAATTCAGCCCTGGTTTTGGCTTCATCCTTGATGGAATGAATGTGTTTGTAAATGGAGCAAATAAGGAGTGAGGATTACAATGAAGTGTTTTTGTTTTGTTTTCGTTTGTTTTTTTTGACTGTGTGATTCCGCTGTCGCTGATGCTTTTTCCTCTGAGCTTATTTAATAAAGTTAACTAAAGAATTACAACTCTGCGGCTCTTTACCTCTTGACCTTGAAGGATTCTTTCAGTTATGGTAACGATTAGATTTGTAATTTGATCCATCAATAATGATAACAACGTAATCAGATGATCGGGCAGGGAGAGTCCTGACAGTCTAGTCCTAATGTTGTTAATGCGTCTTTAATCACTTGCAGCTTAAAGCATTCACCCAAAAGAGTTGTTTTAATTTAAATCTTGTCTTTTTTTTAAACAACACTGTCAAACTCAAACCAAAGTTCCCCCAAAACAGATGTTTTTAAATGTCATACTTGTGGCTTTTAATGCTTTTGTTTAATGTGTGAAATAAGAATAAAACTAAACTAACAAACCATTTTAGTTCACTGTACTTAAAAAGAACAGAATTTATATTTATATGACCTAAGACTTAGTGCTTGGACAAAAACGTCTTCAGTCAAGGTCTTCTTGCAGCACTAGGTTTTTCCTGGGCTTTCAGCTACACCTTGGTGTCTTCATCTATGGATCACAATAGCTCAGCTGTAATTACATAATCACACGATAAAGGTGTGGCTGCATATTTTGTCAGCTATCACTTTCTTTGCAGATGAAGACCATGAGATGTTGAAAGCTCTGAAAAAAGCTAAAATTGACCTTTTTCTCACTCCTGTTTCTCACCTTTTCTTTCCTTGATCAGTTCTCATTAATTTAAGTTTCTGTTCCTCCTTTAACCATTCTGTTGCCACGGTTACAGTTATTTTAGCCATTAATTTAATTTACCATCCATTGACCCTCTTTGTTGTTTTTTTTACCCCCACCTCTCTCTATGTGTGTGCCTTCTTTTGTGATGTCTCTGAAGACCCAGTTGTGTCTTCCTCTTCACATCCTGGAGGAGCGAGGACTCCCCCAGGTGGCCGGAACTGTCAGCGCTCTGCTCAACCTGGCCCCGCCTCGCCACACTGTCACGATGACGACATCATCATCGTCATCCACTACACCCGGACCCTCCATCGCCATGTAGACAATGCTAACATCAGCACTGGATGCACTCAGCCTTAGCTGGATTTATAGGGTGGAGGTGGAGCGTCAGAGGAAACAAGACCATTTTGGATGAAAGCCTCCAGAACAGCAGGTCGGCATCTGATGGAGACATGAACAGAGCTGAACATACATATTACTGACATGATCTCAGAACTATCAAGTGCTTAGAAACCTCTCAGAGAAATGAATCCGAGTGCCTCGTGTTTAACAGTGAGAAGGGGTTAGTGTGAGGATGGAGGAGGGTGGCTGTGGAGTGAAAATCGGAAGGTTAAAATATGTGCATACATGTTTAAAATTATGAACGGGAACAAAAATAATATAAATAGAATCAAAAGTCACTAAAGCAGATAAATAGAGATGGTTATTAACTTTGTCATACAGGTATTTTATCACAGTTTTACAGTGTGAGGATGGAAAACTAATCAATGACTAGATGTGTATATACTGGTAACACGATGGTAGGCCTGAGATTAAACTGGCAAAGCTAACTGCTAACTGGTCTCACCTACTTACTGAGGATGTTGGAGCTCATTTACCTTTTGTTTTTACATGCTGACAGGCTGAAATGCACTGCAGTCATGATCTGACATTTTTTACCTTTTATTTAACTTATGTATTTATGATTCTGCAAATGACAGTGAAATACACACAAGAGCATATTCAAGTGAAAACACTTATTTGCAAAATGTTAAAAACAAAAAACTTTAAAATTACACCATAAATGAACCGGAAATTAAACATCACCTGCAAATTAAACTAAACTCGGTCTGTCTCCATAAATAAACTGACATACAGGGTTTGCATGTTAGCTAATGCAACTCAATGCTAATTGCTAAGGAACACTAGCTTAGATGTAAAGTTGCTAAATTAAAAATAACACTAATGTAGCTCACTGCTAACAATAGCCAACGCTGACTGAGTTGAGTTGAAAGTGATGCAAACAGACCTTCAGATTAGGTTCTTGGTTAAAGCTAATGTAGCTCAGTGCTAACATTAGCTAACATGTTGTAATCAGAAGAATCTTCAGCTCTGTTTTTAGACTCCATCAGATCCAAACTTGAGCTGAATTTATTTTTAATACTCAAAAGTGACAGAATTTGCCTTTTCTCTGTTCTTGGTGGAGGTTTGGTCTGAATGATGAAGATGCAGAACCTCCAACCCCTGGAATCTGACTGATTTTTAGCATCTTCAGTTTGATGGATGGACATCGTCTTTGTACAGGACTGTTTTTATTTTCCACCCTGTCGTTAGTATTTCAGTTTTTATTCTTCTCCTACCTGCTTTTACATGTCTGTGTCCCCGATCCTCGATGGCTTTTTGGTTCAGGCTGAACAGACATTAGCAGCAGTCTTAGAGCATTTGACTATCTGACTGATCCTCCCTAGGTGATCAGGACCTTCATCACTGGTCAGCATCATTCACCTGCATCCTCACACATTCATTCAGTGAAATTAAAAAGGACATGGAAACTGATCTGAGCTGAGCTCCTTGGTGGTGATAGGACGCCATATGGCCAAAAGTATGTGGACAGCTTTATCCATTACACTCTAATAATAATAATAATGTTTGTTTTGTTTTTTTATCTGTAGAGCACTTTTCAAATCAAATGTTCCAAGGAGCTTCACAGTCCAGTAAAATTAAAGGATAAGACAGGTCATCTTCTATATATTAATGGTATTTCCAGCAGTCTCCATACAGAGACTAAAACCGACGTCGTACTCTTACCCTGTACTCGTGGTTAATGTCAGTCAGTGTGTTAGTCCTGGATCAGCTCGTTTGTTTGTGCCACAGACCTCTGCTGTTGTCGTAAGGCGAAACGCACCAGTGAAACACAGCTGCACTGGTTGACGTTTCTTCATTGGCAAAAACCAGATCCGAGTGTGAGGAGCTAGCGGAGTGTAAACAAAACAGAGAGCTTGCGCATGCATAGTTGACTCTGGCTCGTGCTAATTTCAGGAAATTATGGCAGCTGAAAGTCTTTGAGGCAACTTAGTCGGGTCTGGGGTTTCATAATGAAAAAACGTGTCTGTATATTTCTGGTTGTTGGACGGACATTGAAGGTCCAGGGGGTGTTCTTCATACATTGCTAAACAGATCCTAGATCAAATAAGCAACTCTTGATTTTCTAATACCAGCCAAGGTTATCTGGAATTTAAGTTCTTCGATGCCCACCTGTGTTGTGGATTAGAAAAGCTGGATTCAGTCCTGTGATCAGTGAATGGGCCATGACCAGCTAGTTTCTGATCGGCTACACCAGATGTCTACGGAGAGAGAGAGCGCAGTCTGTCAGCGCAGCAGAGAGAGAGAGCTTCTGCTGAAGGCGATGAGGAATTTAAGGATTTGATTTGCACGTAACTGCCAACAAAGAAGTGGCTGTAACTAAATGCAGACGTGTCCCATTTAAATACCTAATGTGGCCACGACTTCATGACGCTGCTTTGATGCAACGGCTCAGTTTGTTAAATGCATAACTAGTAATCCTGTACAGTGACAGGCCGGAGCAGGACAACACATTTACACAGCGAAAAGAATTCCAGGGACACGAGAGACGTCTGGCTCATGTTCATTTATTAACAACTGTTTAGATGACAAACTTGTGTGCGCCGAGTTCCTGTTACTTCATAGAGCTGGTCTCTGCATTAAAGTACAAGAACATTCAGCAACCTGGTAACGTAGCCCGTTACTCTCAGTTCTACTACCATTATTGTGAGTTTACTGTTGCAGCTTCGCTTCAATAATCAAACAACGGTTTTTAAAATGTTTGACTTTCTCCATAACGTCGCAGCACTTCTCAGTCTTTTCCTGCCAATAATTATGCAACACATTTCAGCAGATGATTAAGTACAGTTGTCTGCAGTTTGAACATTTGTCACTCCGATATGTCCTTCTGTTCAGAGCCGATCAGTTTCTTCTCAGATAAACTGTTCACATCATCACTGACATTAGTTCATGCGGTTGTTAAAATGCTACATCAAGCTCTCAGCTGTTGTGACTTCCACAGATGTTCACTGGTGTCACAAAGGGTTCCCACCCCTTCACTCCTTGCATGTTCCACATGCATTTTTTCAGTTTCATTATACATTTACAGCAGTAAAATGTGCATCAACTTTAGAGTGGAAACCTTTCTGAAACCACTGTAGCCTATATACTGTCAGTTCTGATAAAGTGATAACTTGGCCACAGCTATGGAGGAAAATTGTAATAAGAGGCTTTAGATCCTTTGTTTTTAATGCACATGGAAGAAGGCAGACTGTGACACCTTCCGGGAAAGTTTCAGAGCCAGGCACACTTTTAAAATGGCTCAGAAAATGGCACTCGTTGTTAAATTTTCGACATAAACAACCTTATATAAAAGCTTCAGGTCAGTGCACACTGACTGGGTGGTGGTCCCAGTGCAGCTCCTCCTCCTCTGCCCTGAATATGAGGCACTAACAGTCCACACATCAGCAAATTATTTCCTCTCGACTGAAACAGTACCATCTGATTAAGAACAGTTTGGGTCGGGCTGAAAGGTTCTGTCGATTTCTCAGTACCGTCTGTTTTCACTCGTGTCTTATTATAATGGCTCCAGTGTCACTGAGTTGCTTCCTGCTCCAAGAGCCTTTAAATCTGTGACGTCGTCTTGTTTACATTGAATAAACCTGAAAACAGTAGGCCTGAGATTACGGACATGTTGCTATGACTACAAGTCCCAAGAGACTTTCGAAGAACCAAAACATCCAAGATAATGTGAAACTCAACAAAATTATTTGGCTAACCTGTTAGAACGTAGGAAGAGCACCCCCTGATGAACACAGGCGATCACCACCTTCTCCACCTTGCATTTGTGTTGCATGCTGGGACATTTTTCATGTTGAACAGGTGACCTGAACCCTCCTGAGCTGACACTATCTCACTGTGGGAGCTCTCCTGCTGCAGTTGCAGCCATGCTCTGTTCATCAAACCTTTGTGTACAGACATATTTTGTAAATATATACATATCTATGTGTGTGTGTGTGTGTGTGTGTGTGAGGCGGAAACATGTGTTGCCATGGTGACACATGGAGCATCCCTGATCAGTGGCCCAAAGATGCAAAACATTTGTTTAATAAGTGAAACCGTAAGTTTCACCTGTGACTGCACCCATCAGTGATGACACGGTGTCCCAGTGTGCACCGTGATATCACTGCAGCCAGGTGAGAAGTTACTGCTGTTGCCTATAAAAATACTTGTAGCTGTGTGTTCAGTGCTGATGGGCAACACCATCAGGTAACGTGAGACACAGCAGTGGAGTTGATCATCAGACAGCTTCAAAACAGCTGCTGCTTTGAATTTGTCCCCTGTTCACACCTGCAGCTGGAAATAAAGGGATAAAAATCAGGTCATGCAGCTTTAAACTGGGAAACTTTAGTAAACAACCATGTGAGAAAAAGAGTTCTGCTATTGGTCTCCTGGATCATGTTGACCCCTGACACTTAAGTGTACTCATGTTTTCTTTCATATCCATGATTTTTGGCCATTTAACTGCTTGCAAACAAATTGTGTTTACAGGTTTTCTCCAAATTTAGGTCTATGTTGAGCTGAAATTAGACCTTCTCTGTTGCTATTCATAACATTTTGTTACAGAGATCAACAATGTCTAAAAACCACCTACGTGTCCTTTTCTCTGTGTCCACAGTTTGGTTTCAGTGTTGAGCTGCAGGTGAACTTAACTGATGGAACAGAGGAGAGGACGCTGCACAGTTTGTTTTTAATTTCCATTTCTGCTTCCATGTGTTTGTGAGGGCTCATGCTGCATTCAGGTGTTGTGGGACAGGAGGAGTTTTTTGCCGGTACAGTATTCAGGTGATTCTAAAGAACTGAGGCTGAATGTTTTCCCTCGGCAGATGTCGCGCTCCCAACACAAAAATAAAAATCAGCTGCAAGAAAAAGTTTGATTTCAGACAAAGTGAAAGATCAGATTTTCAGTTTGTCCTTGTTTCACCTGAACACAGCATAAGAGCTTGAGTTTCAGCCTGAACCACTAGGTGAATCCCAGTTCCCCTAATTGAACCGATGTTTCCCTTACTTGTCTTAATCCCCCCCACATATGATGCGAGGACTTGAGGAAACACATTTTGACTGACATGAGAGGCCCTTTCCTCCAAACCTTCATGTGAAGGATCCACTCACAAACTGAGTGTAGTTAAAAGGGCGTGTTAGTCCATAACAGACTTCCGTGAAGGATGCTCTCATGTCGCCTCTGGCAACCTCCTCACCCCTCAGAGCAGCAGTGAGAGCTTCAGGGACGTCCTTCAGGATGGCAAACCAGAACGACTTCCAGGTCAAGCAAGGAACCAGAACCTATTAAAATAAGGGAAGGTGGACTTCAGCTACTGGGACTTGAGTCATGAGTTCATTCATTCATTCATTTTCTACCGTTTGGTCCCTGAGTGGGGTCACGGGGGGGGAGCCAATCCCGGCCGGCAATCGGGCGAAGGCGGGGTACACCCTGGACAGGTCGCCAATCCATCGCAGGGCTGAGTCATGAGTTTCTGCCTTGAATTCAGGCTCCCAGTCTTGGTCCTGCCCCCAATAAGCTCCACCAATCAGATGCTTCAATTTAGAGCCCATTGAAAACCTCAGGTATTTGAAGGCTCACCTGAGAAAAGAATTTGTTTAGGTCATCACTATCTACTGTCTTGGAGGAAACAAAATTGGGATGGGCTGGGGGGCTGAAACAGTCCCCAGAGCAGGTGACAGGTGTGCTGCCCAATCCCATGTGACTGTCCTGCGGGCGACCCAGGTCTGACCTGATGACACGGTTTCATATTTGTCTTCCCCCCCCCCCCTTGGGGGCTTTCTCATGCAGTGGTGATGGGTCATGTGATGAATCATGTGACATTGGTGATGGGTCATGTGGTTTAAAGGACATTCCACCAGTTTTCCTGGAGGACAAAGACTGTCACATTTGTTAAATTTAACATTTTTCCTTTAGATATTTTTGCTGAAAAACTGTATAAAATATTTTAGCACATCTGTATGAAGAGTTTAGTTAATTCTAAGTGCATTAAATAAATATTTTAATTGGACTTCATTCTTGATGCTCAGGTTGTCCTTTTCATGGATGACTTATGACAAAATTACCCAGAGGTTTGAAGATAGTTTTTATTATTCAAAATTGTGCTAAAATTGAAATCCATTTTTGTTTTTTGCAAGATTCTGTTTTTCAGCATGTGGACATCCTGCAACAAAGGAGTAAACAGCACAAAGCCACAACTGACAACAAGGAGTATCATGTCTATTTTAGGTTGTGTTTGTTCTGTGTATATATGCTGAATTTTTTAAAATCAGCAATAAAATATTTTAGAAACAGATAAAACCTCAAAGTGATGTTAACTTGATTAAATGTGGAAACCTTGCAACAACTTAGTAAATCTGATAAAAACCAGTGCTGCTGGAAAAAAAAACGTTAGTTCCTTGTCAGTTCCTGTTGGCATTGTCGCCTACACTGTCCCTGTTTGGAAGGCAAGCCACAGTTTATCTGTATGCATGTGTGCAGTGAGAATTTAATGCTCTAGTGTGTTACTCTGTATGATCATTACTGCTAATAATGAGCAATTTATTGGGTTGCCAAATGCATAACAAAACTGATCATGAGAATTCATTTTCAAAAACAAAACAGCATTCTTGTTTCTATGGGGGCAGTGGCTCTGTTTAGCTCAGATGCTGCGTGCGAGGTTTCCCCCACCCTGATCTCAGCAGGCCCCGACTGGCCATTGAACTTTGATGGCTAGGTGGTTTTCTCCCAAATCATCCTCCCAGATACAGACAGCACGTCAGTTGTCCCACTAGGGACAAGAACACATTGGACCGTTGCTACACGGTAATAAAAGATGACTATCGCTCTGTCCCCCATTCAGCCCTCGGACTCTGATCACTGATTGGTCCAGCTCATCCTGGCCTGCAGGCAGAAACTTCGGGCTGCGAAGCCTGTGGTCAAAACAGTGAAGAGATGGGCTGAGCAGGCAAAGTCAGAGCTACAGGCCTGCTTTGACTGCACAGACTGGAGTGTATCTGAGGCTGTATCTACAGACCTGGATGAACTCACTGACACTGTGACATCATACATCAGCTTTTGTGAGGACATGTGTGTGCCCACTGAGACCTTCTGCACGTACAACTACAAGCCTCGGTTCATAGTAGGACTCAAGTGGCTTCATCATGCTAAAGAGGAGGCCTACAGACTTGGGGACAGGATCCTGTACAGGCAGCCAGGAACACACTGACAAGGGAGATCAGAGCAGCAAAGAGGAGCTACTCTGAAAAGATGAGAAACCAGGTTTCAGCCAATGACCCCCTGCTGGACCCGCTGTGTGTTTGCCTACCGGGCCAACTGGTCAGTGGATGATGCAGTCAACATGACACTGCATTACATCCTGCAACACCTAGAGTCCCCAGGGACCTATGCAGGAGTCGCCTTTGTGGACTTCAGCTCGGTGTCACTATGCCAAGACAACCAGGCACAAGGACAGTTTCTTCCCCCGGGCTGTCACTCTGATGAACCCGTATGCACGTAGCCCCTCGGCTCCAAACAAAATTTCGTTGTACGTGTCACAATGTTACAGTGAGAATAAAATAAAGCTTCTTAAGTACTCTTTTTATTCCTATTTATCTTATTTCACAGTGAGCATTCTTTTGTCTGCATTGTTTACTGCGTGTTTATACTGCTTATTTTGCATTGTGTGCGCTGTTTGTTGCTTGTTAATAAATCAAATCAAATTTTATTTGTATAGCACCAAATCACAACAAAAGTCATCTCAGGACACTTTACAAACTAAGGTCTAGACCTTACGGTTATCAATATTATTACATAGGGAAAACCCAACAAATCCCCCTTGAGCAGCACTTGGCGACAGTGGGGAGGAAAAACTCCCTTTAACGGAAGAAACCTCCGACAGACCCTGGCTCTTGGTGGGCGGCCTTCTGCCTCGACCGGTTGGGGTGAGTGGATAGAGGAGAGACAAAAGAAGAAAAGCAACAAGACACAACAATCAAACACTGATCAGGTCGATGTGGCTGGTGACTGCTCGTCAGAGACATAGAGCTCTAGGGCCAGGGCAACCTGGAGAAAGGTACAGGGAGAGAGAGAGGACACACTACGGGAGGGAGGAGACACAAAGTTAGTAATGTGTAATGGTGACATATAGAAGCATAGGGAGAGAGAGGGGAGGAGAGGATAGGGGAGAGAAACTCAGAGCATCATGGGGCCCCCCAGCAGCCTAGGCCTATAGCAGCATAACTAAGGGAAGGCTCAGGGTCACCTGATCCAGCCCTAACTATAAGTGATATAATACTGCTTATTTGGTTATATGACAGTGGTGCGGTGGGTAGAGCAGGCTGTCAGAAGACTGAAGGTTTGAATCTCGGTGCCTGTAGTCCACATGGTGAAGTGTCCTTGGGCAAGACACTGAACCCCCCCCCAAGTTGCCAATGATGGCGATATGCATGCAGTGGCCCGGGGCCCCTCAGCTCCAAAACAAAATTCCATTGTACATGTTACAATAAAATAAAGCTTCTTCTTTACTGTCTACTTGCCCCTTGCATGGGGATATGTACATGCACATTAAGAGCCGATGTACCAGAGTCAAATTCCTTGTGTGTCCAACACACCTGGCCAATAAAGCTGATTCTGATTCTGATTCTAAATCACAGCTAAAATAATAATTGCATTTTAGAAAATAATTACATACAAGCAGGGACACACAAATGTAACAATAAGAAACAGTGTTTTATTACTGCTTGATTAACATGAAAAATACACGATAGCTGTATCAGTTTATAGTGCATTTAATTTGATGCAAAACAAGAAAATAAGAGATAGTTTAAATAATTTTCTAGGATTCGCATAATTAAAATAAAATCGGTTCAACAAACAGTTTCATAAAAACAATATTATATTAGTAAAACCTGAGTTTAAATGTATTTTACTGTTGAAAAAGTGACATTATAATGATAAATTAAACCCTCCATTGTGATCAGGCGGCTCCGCGGACACCTTTGTTTACACAAATTTCCCAGCATTCCTTTCGGCCTTCCTTTTTCCTCCATTTTTTGTCTAAAGCAAGGTAAGGGCTCAAACATGTCTGAGTGAAAGATAAAATAAGAACTTTGTTATACTTAATTTTTGTCTGATGGCCACTGGCACTTAACGGGCGGTTTCCCCTCCGCTATCCGGTCACTTTATGTTTGTGTGGAGTTTGCGATGTCGGAGATTCAAGTTGGATGAATCTGAAAGCGACTGACAGCCGCTAACAGTCCGGGCTGAGAAGCTGCAGTCTGGTTAGGGTTAGAGTAGTTTTCCGATCTGTTCGCAGCAAAGCAGGGAGACTATTTTATATAATGTCGATCTGGTTCTTGTGTTTTTCGGGTTTTTTTTGTGGTTATTGTGGCGCTAGTGTTAGCAGTGAGTAGAACTGACGTTAGCATGTTAGCATAGGCTGAATAAGTATCTGCAGACATGAGTTATTCGTTGGCTTAAACTTGATGTCGGTTATCCAGTTGAAGTGAAAGAACCCAATCAGCAAACAAACGTCAACTGTGCGCTCAGGTGATGAAAACTTGCACGACCAGGACACAGCGCTTGCCCCGTGTCAGGTGTGTTATAGACTGCGGGATACCCGGTTCTTTTCACCGTTAACTCTGAGAGACGAGGCAGTCCAAGTAACTTCAAAACAGCGCTGTTTTATTCAATGAACAGGTAAGAATCAACATTACAGGGCCTCCAATATGCACGCAGGCAGCTGAAAGATGAAAAGCTCCGAACCATAACAGGCCTATACATTATATCACTTCGGGCTAACCCCATTCTACACAGAGACGCCAAACCGTGACGCCTCCCGGGGCCAGCTGTGCAGCTGACCATGGCAGTAGTCAAAGCATGAAGAAAATCAATGTGTGAATGTCTGTTGGTTGTGTGGTGTGTAGCTAAAACATTCTGACATGACATTAAGCATAAGAAAATATGACTACGATTATGGTTAAACACGTCATAACAATAATATTAAACATTCTGTCTCCTAACAACAATCAACTTTCTGTCTAGTTGTCCTTGAACCTAAACAACCTGGAGTACCCTTATGGGAGTGACTAAGCTTTCAACAGCCTGAGTTAGACATTCTGTGTACTCTAAACAAGACCAATTTCTGGTGTTGGTGTTTGTTGGCAGCTGTAACAGACAAACGTGATCTGTTAAGTCTGGCGTCAGTTGAACTGGTGTTGTGTCACAGTGTTTCCCCAAAGACTTGACAAGTTCTGTAGCACAACGGTTCCCATAGTAAAATATTTTTGGTGATTTTCTTTGTCATTCCCCCTGCGCACTGGTCACACTGGTTTATCCACTTTTGTTTCATTTATAAAATGGCCATTTTGTTTTCCCTGCTACAGGAAGTGGCGGGCACTCGGTGTGTCCGTACTCACCTGTTGTTGATCGTCTTCACTGGATTTGATGTTTACATGTATCTAGTTGTCTGATGACCTGTGTACAGGTCTGTTTATTCCTTGAGCAATGAAATTGAACTCCGTTTCAATTTTTCAGACCAGTTTGTTTATTCTGCTCCAACGAGAGACTGCTCAGTTTATTCTGCTTTCAGATGTTCCCTTTGTGTCAGTGTGGGACTCGTGATTACACTGTTTCCGTCATGTCTGGGGGTGTTTGACTCAGGAAACCTGAGCAGCTGATGCACATGCACAGTTCAAAGACATTGGTCAGCATTCAGTTTTTTGAAACCAGGACTTGATGCGCAAAAAAATGTCCAGTAAATCTCTAATGAATGTGTATCTGTCTTTTTTTTTTTTTTATACAGGTGAACTCACCTGGAGAAGACGGAAGATGCCTGGAAGGTGAGCTGACTAAGCAGATTTGTAAATGCGTCTCTCACCTGAGCCCCATCTCTGTATCCAGACAGACTCCATACAGATGGATTTATTCTCAGTTGTTCCCTACTAACAAAAGAGCTGAGGACCTTGTGTCTGAGGAGTTAAATTCTGTCCTGTCTGAGCTGTAGTTGGTGCATGTGCTCACATTCAGATGATGAATAACCTGCTGTGTGTTAAATGGCCCGTCTGATGATTCCTGTGGCCAGTGTGTTAGAGCTTCTCTGACTCTGTATATCTGTGTGCTCGCTCAGACTCTGGAGTAAGGCCATCTTCACCGGCTACAAGCGCGGTCTGAGGAACCAGCGGGAACACACAGCTCTCCTGAAGTTGGAGGGGTGTTACACCAGGGAAGAGGTCGACTTCTACCTGGGAAAACGCTGCGCCTATGTCTACAAGGCCAAGAAGTAAGAGCTGTGTTCACACAGGGGCACATCAGCAGTCACCTGCATCACAAGTTCTTTGGCATTTTAACAGGTTGAAAATCTGGTTACTGTGTTATCACAACCTTCTATAAACTTAGAGAACAAATGCTGATGGTGGCTTCTCTGGTTCTGCAGCCCACTGCTGAGCAGACTAGTCAGATTTCAAATAGTCCAGAAGCTCAAGTCAGGACAAGCTACTGCTGAACAAATGGCTTGACAGGTGTTCAGGTAAACACCTTTGATTCAAGGTAAATTTGTGTGTGGATTGTGAAAAACAAAGGAGTAAAAATGGAGGAAGAAAACCATTGAACCAGGCCAAATGTCACAGGTCGCATGCATTGATTTATCTGCTACTCTTAAGGACAAGGTGAAGCCAAAACAGTTTTCCCTTTCATCTGAATGGGGAAGTGCTTTTACTCAGTGGGGAGCAGCACAACCAGGCACCTCCGCCAAAATGATGCAGCACTGTTTGAAGAAATTTCATCTGCTTCAGCTTTTTCTGCAGTGTGACTTTATTCTCAAGACACTGTGTTGGCACGTCACGTACAGTCATGGCCAAAAATATTGGCACTCCTGCATTTCTCTGTTAACACACCACTTCTCCCAGAAAGTTGTTGCAGTCACAAATTCTTTAGTATTCTAATGTTTATCTCTTTTGTTTGCATTGGAACAAAACAAAAAGCAAAGAAAAAAGCCAAATCTGGTCCAGTCCACATAGAACTGCAAAAATGGACTGGACAGAATTATTAACACCTTTTCAACAACATCAGAAATAGTTGTATTTCAAGCATGTGATGCTCCTTTAATTTGTAATGAAACTCTCTCAATAGAGAAATCACACTGGTAACCAGGTAAAATGGAGAAAAGTTAGCTCTGACTTGGTATGGTGTGGACCACACTGAGCACAGAGAAAAGAAGAAGAGCGAAGGAGGATCCGAGAACCTCGATAGTGAGAAAGCCTGGTCAGTCTCAAGGCTCCGAGTCCGTCTCCAGAGATCTCACTGTTCCTGTGTCCGCTGGGCACAACATCGTCAGGATGTTTACAGCCAATGGTGCTGTAGCTAATCTCTCTGGATGTGGACAAAGGAGGAAAATAGACGACAGATTGTAATGAAGGATTGTTCCGATGGTGGATAAAGAACCTCAGTCAACTTCCAGACTAGTCCGAGCTGACCTGCAGGCACAGGGTGAAACGGTATCAGCGCGCACTATCCGTCACTATCTGAATGACGAGGGACACTATGGTAGGAGACCCAGGGGACCAGCTGCTGACACAGGAGCATAAAGCCAGACTGGAGTTTGCCAACACTTACCTGAGGGAGCCACAGTCCTCCTGTGAGAACATCCTGTGGACAGATGAGACTAAAATAGAGCTTTTGGTCAAGCACATCATTCCACTGTTTTCAGAAAATGAAATGAGGCCTTCAAAGAAAAGAACACTTACCCTACAGTCAGACATGGTAGAGGGTCACTGATGTCTTGAGGCTGCTTCAGGCTCTGGGTGTCTTGACTGTGTATATGGCATTATGAAATCTGAAGACTACTGTGAATTCTGGGGCCCAATGTAGGGCTCGGTGTCAGACAGTTGGGTCTCACAGCAGGACAATGACCCAAAGTAGACCTCAAACAGCCCCAGAAATGCTTTCAGACAATATGCTGGAAAGTTCTGAAGTGGCCAGCAATGAGTCCAGGTCTAGATCTTACAGAGCACCTGTGGAGAGATCTCAGAACAGCACTGGGAGAAGGAACACTTCACACCTCAGAGACCTGGACCAGCTGGCAAAAGAAGAGTGGTCCAAAACTCCAGTAGAGGTGGAAGAAACTCACTGATGGTTACAGGAAGTGATTGATTTCAGTTGTTTTGTCCAGGGTGGGCTGCCAGATATTAAGCTGAGGGTGTCAGTAATTCTGCCTAGTCCATGTTTGGAGTTCTGTGTAGACTGGATCAGATTTGGGGGTGGGGTTTCTCCTTTTTTGTGTAAACAAAAGAAATGAACATGAGCACACCAAAGAATTGGTGATTCTGTGAGAGGTGGTGCTTTGACAGAAATACAGGGGTGCCAATATCCTAGGCCATGACTGTATATGCAGACACATCTCTGGTGGACCAATGAGGGGCTGAGAAGTCAAAAGTGTTTTAAACATGGTGAAATGAAGAAGTGTGAGCTTCTCGGGATCAGAGGAGAAACCTGCCTCAGATGCTCCTCAGCATCAGTAGGAACGTAACTGGATGATAACATCTGACTTGTTAGAGGTCCATGTGAAATATTTTGTTTGCAGACATGACGGACTTAAAACCGAGGCAGAACATGTGAGTTATCGGAACTGTAAAAGCTTCAGTGGATGTTTGTTGTTCGAGTCAGAATTCAGCAGTTTGTGTCTAGAACTACAGCGAGCAGCACCACTTTGTCTGCTCTGCCCCTAAATGTCAGGAAAAGTTGTCCAAAGATTTAACATGTCAAAATGTTAAAAATGAAGCATAAATAGGCCTTTACATCTTCAGACAGCAGATGACAGCCTGCTGAGATGTAGAATTTGACTGTGTTTTTGACAAAACATTGATTAGA